AGGAGAGGGAGAAGCAGGCTCCCTGCTGAGCAAGGAGCCCGATGCGGTACTCGATTCCAGGACTTTGGCATCATGACCTGAGCCGAAGGCAGACGTTTAACCTACTGAGCCACCCAGGCATCCCAAGAGCAGAAAATTTCTTAGAGGAAAAAAGTACAAAAGGGAATGAGGATAAATATAAGGAAAGGAATCAGGGAGGTGTTTTTTGGTTTTTTTTTTGTTTGTTTTTTTTTAAATTTTAAGTATATTAACCCAAGTCAAGCATTTCTTTTGGTCATATTAAGAGAGTACTTACTAGAACTTGAAAATACGAGGCGATCATAGGAAGTGATGAGGGTGGTCACATTTTTTTTTCCCCTACTAAGATTAAAGAACCTGCAAATAGTTCAGGAAATTAAGCAGCTTTTAAATTCTTCCCTCCCAGGGAAAGGATAGTCTTCAGGGGTTATTTGTAATCAGAAATTGAGAGCAAAACCCAGCAAAGTTGTCATGTTGAAATTACGTGTAGGCAGCAGGAAAATCCCCGGCCACCCCGTCACTCTCCAACATAAAATCATCCACCAAAGCTACAAGAATTAGGAAAAATCATATCTGTTCTTTTAAAATCCCTTTCTTGATTTTTTTCTGCCAACATCAAGGATTCCTCCTGAAAATAAACTTATTGGTAAGACAGAACCAAGTAAAATGATTTATACGTCTGGAAAGGATTGCATTTTGTGTTAAGGAGGTGAACCGCACATCAGATTATGTTAGCACATGCAGGTGAGCTTCAACATTTTAAACTTCTCTTTTCCCTCCCTTCACTACACTTGCCTACTTTTCTACATTTAGTTGTACTAAACCTCACTTAGCGTCACCAGTTTAGTAGGGTCTGGGCAGGCAGTGCATATATGATGTCCTGAAAACACAGTGCCCTATGTAAACAATTGTTTTTGGAAATTCAGAGGTTTCGTGGCAGGATTGCATTTTTTTTTTTTTTCTGAAAATCAAATGTTTAGGCCAAAGCTGGAATTGAATGTGCATTTTTATGACCTGGCATATTCAAACATCACCATTGTATGTTTAAAAAGGCAATTTGATCTTTTTTGCTCTTTCTTCTTTGGGCTTCCATCTTTTCTGGTGCCATTGTTTTCTTTTTTACAGTACATTTTCAGATCTTGGTATATCTCTTCAGCATCTGTTTCTCCTCAACTATAATTTTCATTCAAAAATAATAACTCTTTGGTCTCTTTGGACATGTTTTGTTTTGCTCCCGCCTGTGAACTTTGCCAGGGTGTGCTGAAGGTTAACAGTTCCATTTCTGGAATTCTCTTGGATCCCTTTTGGAGAAAAGTGCCAAAGTATATAAGGAGGGTTCAAATGTATCTGGGCTCTGCCGAGTCCGTTAAGGAAGGCTTCACATGGCTGTGCCCTCTTCCATCTCCCTTCTGTTCTCACTGGGCCGGCCTTCTTCAGGATTCCGTGTTCAAGTTCCTATCTTGCTACACTGTGGTGAGCCTGAAACCAATGTAATGTTGTGTGTCAACTATACTCAAATAAAAGAAATAATAAAAGGAGAAAAAAAGAAAGAATCCTGTGGAAAAGAAACTTTAGATTCACAAAAGGGCCAGAATACTTGTTTCTCTAACCACACTCTGTCATGTTTATTAACAGGTAAACATTGCTTCTCACTTCACCGAGTTTTCATCTCACATTACCCAGGGTCATGAGTATTTCCATTGCTCATTTATTAATGCTCCCATCAGTTGTCGGGAATGACCAGAGTTGGTCAAAGTGGTTTTCCCACAATTGCTGAAATAGTGGAAAGTTTAGGTGAATGACAGAAGTGTTACTGGAAATGGCCATGAGGGACCTTTTAGGGATGTTTTGCCTGAGGGGCTCTGGGTCACAGATTGCTCCATTAACATCATATCTGCACTACAGTATATGTCAAGCAGTTTGCTTTAGTTGTGACTTTCTGTTGCAAGAGGCCATACACTCAACCTAAAGTGGCTCAAGCAAAAAGAGGTTTTTGTGGCCTGTATAACTGAAAAGCTCAAAGGTGGGACTGTCTCCTTGTGCTGCTAAATGTCAGCCTCAGATGGTGTTGTAAGACCACTGGCTTCTCTCTATAATCTGTTTTCTCTCTTTAGTGTTGGCTCATTCATAGGCAGGCTCTCCCCTCGGACTCACGAGAGGGCTGCAGAAGCTCCAGAACTTACATCTTCTTAGTTTCACATCCAGAAGGGGTCATTGCAGTCAGCCACTTGATAGTGGAAGGGTAAGCTGCATGAAACTGGATTTCCAGAGTATCTGGAAGGAGGAGCATGCCTGGAGATCTGACACTCCTCAAGATTTACCAGCCCTGGAGCCATCCTACCTTCCTTAAGACTTGTGATGGGAGACAATAATTTATTCTTATTGATTAAATGACTTTATATTAAGTTTTCTTGTTAGAAAGGAATTCATTTTTTTTTTTTTTTGCTGTTTCATCTTTTGGCCTATACTTTCTTCTAGTTCCATTATTTTGTTTTATACAGTACATTCAGCTGAAAGCATCTTAAATATTATTGTCATATTTGCTCCAGGTGGGTCACATGCCCCTTCCTGACCATTCACCATGAGTGTATGATGTGTAATTGGCCCCAGCCTAAGATGCCCCAGCCCACTCTGCAGTGGGACAGCCTCCTCCTTCCTGACTATATGGACTGAACATGGAGGAGGAGGAATATCTCCTGGCAAATGAGGGTATGTTTCCATAAAATAGTGAAATAGATACTGGGAAGCAAAGATATCAGGTGTCCAGGACTGCATCCCTTTGAGTGTGCCTTCTGTTACACTGTGGCTTTGACCTGTCAGTATGGTGAGTAGGGAGTGTGTAATTCAGCACTTGGTCTGGTAGCCTAGTGTATGTAACTTTGGAGGTGTTCAGGTCAAAGGCAGATCTGCTGTGCTACTGACCCATCTCACTAGCCCACGAATACTTTTCCTCACTCAGAGCCTCATATCTCCAGCTTTGGAACATCAGCCATTCTAAGGTCATGGCAAAGAAAAATGTGGTCCGTGGCCAAGACAGACAACCCTTGAGATGCTGGATAGTCCAGGCCTCTCTAAAAAATATGAGGAAACCCAGACAGTGATTGAAGCTGCATGTACCATCCCATAGGTCCCATGGTTCTCTGGCTCCTTCTCTCATATTCCCTGAAGTTCAGCTGGTCTCATGGGTCTCAGAGTCAGCCTGGGATGTAGAACAGTGGGGCCTCAGGTCAGGCTGCGTCTAGTGATTTCAATTCTGCTGTTGGCTGGAATTCCATCTGTCAAGAAGGTTTTACAGTCAGCCATTTGATAGTGGAAGAGTTAGCCCATGAAACTGGATTTCCTGCTTATCTGGAAAGAGGAGCACCCCTGGAGATCTGACATGCTCTGTGAAAATTAGGGGTTAGTTTTTGCTATTCCTGGTTAGTCTCTGCTAAACCTAATGCATTTCAATATTTGAGGATTAACACACATACACACATAAACACTCAAAGAATTTTTCTATTTTTTTATCATGAACTTAAGTAACTTCATCAAGAGAATCTAATCAGCATCAAACTATTTACTTCCCTCCAAAGTAATTTCCTGTCAATGCACAGACATGCATTTTTACTTAGTTATAATTAGTGTGAACATACTCGTTTTTGTTTAAGAAAGGTTTTCTTTACCTTGGCATTCAGATTTGTTTTCATGGGCGAAGAAAACACTGAGAACTAGAAGGAAACTTCACTGGAGAGTTGGGAGGATTATACAGGGTCATGTTATCCTAGAGTTGACGAAACCTTGAAGGACCCCGAATTCCACCCCATATCTCTAATGACCGCCCTTCAGACTAATAGACTCACTGGAGCAGCTTTCCCTCACAAAGGCCTCTCCAGTTCTTACTCCACCACACCAAGGAGGGACTCTCCCTTCTAAAGGAAGAAGGAAATCCCACTGTCCAGGTCGGGGAGGGTCCAGTGTCTGTCATGTGCCTGCACCCTTGTTACCTGCTTCACTGTGTTGTGAAGTTATGTTCAATGGTTTCCCATGCAGGGAGAAAGCCAAAACCATGCTACTCTGTAACAATTGTCCACACCATTCTCCTCAAATGTCTGCCGCTTTTTTTTTTTAATAAAATGTAATCACACACAACAGGTTCCAATCTATCAAAGCGTAAATTTCCCTGTCTTTTCTCCTAAGTCAAGGAAGAAGCAAAGGTAGGTTTAATTAAAAGCAGCAACTATTTGTACAGCTGTCCCTGGGTTCATGGCTCCTAAAAGGATTTAGCTTCAAACCCCGCTGCCCACGTCCTTGGGCTCCTGGTCTGGGCAGTGCCAAACCCTCACTTCCCGAGTCACTTGGGGGAGCGGGCCGCCCCAGCTGTGCCCTGATGCTTCTTTAGTCGCCAGATTCCCTGAGCCCGTGTGGCATGAGCAAAGCAGAGAAGAGCAGAACTTCCACATACACAAGTCCCCTTCTTTTGTTTGGGGGACACGAGGCCTTGAAGGTTACTCCAAGAAGTTGCTGAAAATTCTCCTAGGGTTGGGAAAGGGAGGGAGGAGGATCTGGCTCGGTCTTCCTTTTGTGAGCTTTTTCTGGCTTTTGGCACTTTTGCTCAGGGTAGGTCTTTAACCTGCCACCCCCAGCACCCAAGGCATGAATGATCACTGACAGGCATCCTTCAAAGGAGATGGGGGCGGGGTATCCCTGAGGATAGATGCTTCTGCACCCAAGCGGCAGGTTTTCCCAGCAAAGCCCTTTAGAAGAGGAAGAACCCGCGCTCAGCATTTGGCTGATTTTCGAGCGCACCGGGAGCAGTGCCTCCGGCAGCCTTGGGTCCGCACACGCCCATTCGGATAGGAATTCGGGAGCCAGCGCTGGCCATCTCCTGCGGGCCTGGGGCGGGGCCGGCCCCACCCTCGAGAGGCAAGAAGGCCAACAAGAGGGTTGGGAAATGTGACCCTGGCGACCCCAAACGCCCCCGCCTCTCTCGCTCACTGCTGCACCTGCCCGCGGAGCGCGCGGAGCCGCCGGCAGGGGCGATGGCTAGCCCTGCGCCCTTAGTGGCCTCCATCAGCCACCAAATGGTGGCTCTGCAGACTCTGCAGCTGCTGCAGCAGGAGTGGGGCTGGGGGGACGGTCCGGGCGACCTGGGGATCCCGCGCGATCCAGACCACGTGTCGGCTGTCCCAGCACGTCGCACAGGCCCGCGGAGGGCCCGGCCGGGGCCCGGGCGCGAAGAGGGGGTAGGGGGGCGGGGGGCCAGGAATGGCGGGTCTGGGGCGCGGCCAAGCTCCCCAGAAGTAGAAGTGGTGCGAGGCGCCGAAGGGGGCGCGGAGCTGCTGCCCTTCCCCAGGGGTCGGGGGCCCTGCACCCTGGCCCAGATGGCGATGCGCAGCGCGCTGGCCCGCGTGGTGGACTCGACCTCGGAGCTGGTCAGCGTGGAGCAGACGCTGCTGGGCCCCCTCCAGGAGGAGCGGTCCTTTCCCATCCATCTGAAGGTGAGTCTGGCCTCGAGCACCCCGCTGGGGCGCGGGATCCCGCGGCAGGGTGGGGCTGCCGGGCTGGTATGGAGCCCGGAGGGGCCACCCATTGAAAAGCTGAGCGGGGGATTCAGCGTCTGTGAGAGGGAAGGGGTAAGGTGACAGCCCTGGGACTTGAGCCCAGGAACTCGGGGTCCACTTGGGGCCCACCTGATTGCGGAACTGAGACGCGGGGAGGCCTTGCCAAAACCTTCCTCTGGAACTCCTTTCTCCCTCTCCCATAAATCAGCTTCCTGCTCTAGCCGAAGGCCCTTTCCACACGCGCAGCTCCTCCGGATGGAGGACAGCTGTCCCTGCTCCCCCCTTTGAAATTAATAACCCTTACTCCAGAGCCTTCAATACCCCTATTAAGTCCCCTCTGCCTTTTGTATGACAAAATCACCTTGCTTTATTTAAAGTTCCTTCACACTTAAGAATCAAAATTATTTTTGCATAAACCCAATTCCCCACAGAGTTCAGAGGCCTTACAGAGTCAACCTAAATTCTCATAAAGTGGGGTGAGAGCGGGGTGGGTCCCGGGTGTCAAAGCGTGAATACTAATGCTAAACTCCTGCTAAGTCACTCGTATTTGTAGGGCCCGTTTCCTCTCATGGTACCAAACTGTGCTGGTCCGTGTAGCCAGGGAGCACAGTAGCTGCCTTTCAGGCTGAGTGGGGCTGTGGAAATCTGGAGGTCTTGGGATCCAGTCTCCGCCTTGTCATTAACTAGCCTAATTGGTTTAAGGTCACAGATCTCTTTGAGATCTTCTGGCTTTCCAATTTTGCTTCCTTCCTTCCCCTTGGGAGGCTAGCAGAAGGAAATGAGGGGGGAATGATGAAGAAAGCTTAAAGCAGTTCCCAAGAGTTGCTATTCTTGCTCTACAAGCCAAGGTTTGGAAAAAATTACTATGTTTTAGGTTACTATACACTGTAAAAGACTGATTTGAAATTAAATATAATAAAGCCTATGATACACCCAAAAAAGTATTGTTACTCTAACACGATGGTTTCTCAATCTCCCGCTGTTGACATCTTGGGCTGGATAATTGCGGGGTTGTCCTGTGCATTATAGGATGTTTAGCACCATCCTTGGCCTCAACCCAGGAGATGCCAGCAGCCTTACCCACCCCACCCCCCAACAAACTGATACAACCAAATATTCCCAAATGTGTGTTGGAGGGAGGGAAAATAAGATCGCCTCTAAAGGCAGAGCACGGCCCCTCTCATGTTAGGAAGTTAAAAAATGAAGCTGCATTTCACTAATGATCTTGTGTAGAATGCACCTTTCTTTGGTACCACAAAGAAATAAAAATTCCTGCCAATTAATCTATGATGCACCATCTATTGTAAGATCACGTCAGAGATTTTTGAAACGTGAAAAAGGGTGCATCTTAGAATTGCCGAAATAGGAAGGGCTGTGTGATGTTAGGGGCATATACAGGGCACATGTACGTTGGCAAAAGGAGAGACTGAGTGATCGGCTTTACCTTAGGTGATCTCGGAAGGCTTCTTGGAGGAAGTAATCTTTAAAAAAAATATGAATGTTTGTCCCACAGACATGAAAGGGAAAAAACATTTCAGGGGACCTGTGTGATCCAAGGCCCAGAAGCAATGAAAAGGTGAACTAATTAATTAGTTCACTATGGCAGAAGGTAAAACAGGATGCTGGACAGGTAAGTGGAGTCAGATGGCAAGAAAAGCCTACATGTCATGCAGAGCGCCTTGAATTGTCTTGCAGGCAAAGGTAACCGTTGAAATGACTGAGGCGAGGCCCTGACCCTAGATAAGTCACAGCAGGTGAGGTTGCAGTTTGGGGATCAGGTTGGAGACCACTGTCCAAGGGCCTGGCCCAGCTCAGATGCATTGGAGCTCTCTGCTGTGGCCTACAAATCATGCCACTTGAACATCATGTAGCCATCACTTCTACTTGGTAATCCTTCTAATGCTTTCTACTTGATTTTTTGTCCTCAACATTTTCCACCCTTCTCAAGCTTTGTTTATCCAAACCTCAACCGGCTCACTCCTCTTCTGAGAAAATTGAGGCCATCGGATACAAATATCTTCCTCTCTACCTAAAAAAAAATCTCACTTCTACTCATCTTCCTTCTTGTCTCTTATAAAGAAATGCTGTTTGGTCCCCCCAACCCCCAACGCAAAGTAGTCTTTCCACTGGAGTCTGCTGTTCACCTGCAGGGGAATAATGAGTTTTGAGTGAATAGCGAGTGCTTTCCGAAGGGAGAGAAACAGGGAGAGGTTTCCCTGGATGATTTGCCTCCTGGCCAACATCTTGGAATTTTGCTTGGTTTTCTGTTCGGAGAAAAGGTAATATCTCTATTTGGTTGTAGAGTAGTGATTACAAAGAACTTAGACTTAAGGACACAGTAGTCTGTCTTTCCAGGGGACTGGTTATCCTGACTTGGCTTCATTATTACTAGTGTTAATTTGACATCAGCATACACTACAAAGGGATCAGCTCCATAAGTCTAGTTACCATCCATCAGCATACAGTTGACCACCTTTACCCATTTCACCCCCCAACCCCCTCCCCTTCTGGGAACCACTAGTCTGTTCTCCGTATCGATGACTTTGTCTTTGTTTTATTTTGTTTGTTCATTTGTTTCGTCTTTTAGATTTCACGTATGAGTGAAATCATATAGTATTTGCCTTTCTCCGTCTGACTTATGTCGCTTAGCATAATACCCTTAAGGTCCATCCATGCTGGGGCAAATGGCAAGATTTTATTCCTTTTTATGGTTAAGTAATATTCCACTTTGTGTGTGTGGGTTTGTGTGTATATATATACACTACCTCTTTATCCATTTATCTATCACTGGACATTTAGGCTGCTTCCATATCTTGGCTATTGTAAATAATGCTGCAATAAACATGGGGTGCATATATCTTTTAAAATTAGTGTTTTCATATTTTTGGGATAAATGCCCAGAAGTGGAATAGCTGGGTCATGTGGTAGTTCTGTTCTTAATTTTTTGAGGAATCTCCGCACTGTTTTCCATAGTGGCTGCACTGATGTACGATTCGACCAACAGAGCACAAGCATTCCCTTTTCTTCACACCCTCACCAACACTTGTTCTTTCTTGTCTTTTTGAAAGTAGCCATTATAACAGGTGTTGGGAGGTATCTCATTGTGGTTTTGATTTGCATTTCTCTAATAATTAGTGATGTTGAGCATCTTTTCATGTGCCTGTTGGCCATCTGTATGTTTTCTTTGAAGAAATGTCTATTCACATGCTTTGCACATTTTTTAACTGGTAGTTTTTTGTTTTGTTGTTGTTGAGTTGTAGGAGTTCTTTATATATTTTTGGATATTAACCCCTTGTCAAATATTTGGTTTGCAAATATCTTCTCCCATTCAATATGTTGTTTGTTCATTCTGGTGATGGTTTCCTGTGCTGTGCAGAATCTCATTAGTTTGATGTAGTCACATTTGTTTATTTTTTTAAAAGATTTTATTTTATTTATTTATTTGAGAGAGAGAGAGTGTGTGACAGAGGCTGCAAGAGGGGGTAGGGTCAGAGGGAGAAGCAGACTCCCTGCCGAGAAGGGAGCCCGATGCCGGACTTGATCACGGGACTCCAGGATCATGACCTGAGCGAAAGGCAGTCGTTTAACCAACTGAGCCACCCAGGCACCCATATTTGTTTATTTTTGCTTTTCTTTCCATTGCCTTTAGAGTCAGATCCACAAAGACGTTCCTAAGACTGATGTCAAGGAATTTACTGCCTCTGTTGTTTTCCCCCTAGGAATTTTATGGTTTCACGTCTTACAGTCAAGTCTTTAATACATTTTGCATTAATTTTTGTGTATGGGTAAGATGGTGGTCTGGTTTCATTCTTTTGCCTGTGGCTGTTGAGTGTTCTTATTACCATTTATTGAAGAGACTGTCCTTTCTCCATTGTATGTTCTTGGCTCCTTTGTTGTAGATTAATTGTCCATATCTATGTGGATTTACTTCTGGGCTCTTAATTCTGTTCCAATGATTTGTGTGTCTGTTTATGTACCAATATCGCCCTGTTTTGGTTACTGTAGCTTTGTAGTATATCTTGAAACCAGGCAGCATGGTACCTCCAGCTCTGTTCTCTTTCAATATTGCTTTGGCTATTTGGGGTCTTTTGTGGTTCCACACACATTTTAGAATTACTTGTTCTAGTTCTGTGAAGTGGGCCATTGGAATTTTGATTAGGTATTGCACTGAATCTGTAGATTGCTTTGAGTAGTATGGACATTTCAACAATATGAAAAAATATATATATATATTAATTCTTTCAATCCAAAAATATGGAGTATCTTTCCATTTATGTGTGTCTTCTCCAATTCCTTTCATGTTTTCTATATTTTTAACTTAAGAACATGTGGATTGATTTTAGACACAGAATGATTTCAGGAGGATTTGTGCTAATGGAAATAATACCGGTGTATCACTTGGAAGTGTGTGGAAACTATCCCTCTAACATCAATTCTCTCCCACAGTGTTACACTTGCCACAGAGAGGAGGAGGGCTCACTTGAACGAAAGCCCACGGCCCAGATGAAAAGCATTAGGGACCCAAAGTAGAGACAGCACAGCACAGCCCAGTGATCTGGTCCTGCAGAGCCTTTCAAACCTACCATTCTACTTCCTGCTGTAGGCCCTTGGGCAAAATATTTAGCCTTCCTTTGCCTCAGTCTCCTTACCTTAAAGTGGGGCTAGAGGTATCTAACCTTACAGCGTTATTAGGATAATGCACATGAAGTCTTAGCTAGTGGCTGCCCATACAAACTCTCAATACCTTTAAACTTTTATTATTATTATTAACAGGTTGATGCCTCACGTTCTCATTGACTATTATTGTTGTGAGTTCCAGTCCTGATATTGATGGATCTGACCCATGGACTGTATTGATTTTTCTGAGACTGTTGACAAAAGCAAAGTTAGGATGACCCATGGAGGGTTCCAAGAAGCCTCCACTATCCAGAGGTCGG